ACCAAGAGGAAAACAGTGATCTATGATTTTGTGAATTCTGTTCATTGAATGTGAGTTTCATGAGTTTACGTGATTTTTGTTGATTCAATATAATTTTCAATAGTTAAAATCAGTTTGTTCGATTTAATGTAATATGAATGATGGGGTGTGGGTGTGAGTGTGGCTGAAGAAGACTCCAACACCCACACCCGCATCCACACCCTTAAGTGAATAAAAAACAGACAAAATAAATGAGATTAGATAGGTTTCAATTTTTAAGCCCCCCTCAGAAATGATTTCCCACTTGGAACCCACCGTTTGGGCTGAAATTTTCAGGGATGATTGGTCTTAGTGAGAAACGCTTGTGGTAAAAATTTCAGCTCGATATGCCCGACTAGATCGAACTTTCTGCTTGTTTTCCTACCTCCCAGGAGAATCGAAATAACTCCGTCGTTAGAAGGGCTACAGAGCTCGAGCTGGTTTCAAATTAGAGCTAGCCTCTGTGCGCAACTTTTCATCGGACGGAATTTTGAAACTCCCTTCCATTCATTTTTTACGAGCACTTTTGTGGGCATGTCTGCAAAATAAGCATAAGAAAATGTGACTGTACGACAGTAAATCCCACTTTTCTCAGCTCTGAAATTCAATATCAAAAATTCGTCCGATGAAAAGTTAGCTCTAATCAAGACCTTTAAAACAATACAAAAATCATGGATTATATGCCGAGTTGAATGGGAGTTATTTCGACTTTCCTGTTTAGAAACCGTGTTTTGAGAAAAATGCTAAAGAAATTTTAGAAGTGGATTTTTTCATTGAAATCCAGAACAAGTCATGTTACAGTGGTATATTCCACTGGACCGTCTTAAAGGACGTCATAGATGGAGGCAGCTAGCTCCATCTGACATGGTGATCAGTATTAAAATGTTCTGTTCAATGATAATGCTAATGGGAAGGCGATTTTTCTGAAACTGACAACCTTAAAAAACCATGAAGTTTCCTACGAAAACATGGTAGTGGATTTTAATTTTTATGCGATAAGTCTTTGAAAATCTGATCATTTTTCAAAAAACGGTATATATTCTGAAAGAGAAAGCTTCGCTGCATCTTCCTGTAATAAGAACTCAACTTCGATATTTTCCTGAAAAAGTCGATTTTTTGAGGGGGGAGGACCTTAAAGGTAATTTATCATTAGATAAATCTTTAACAATTAAATTTAAACCAATATTTAATTGGTTAACATATGATGCATGGCATCATTGTTCATATCTTAAAAAAAATTTTCTGATGAATTTCAAAATTTATTAATAAATATACAAGAAAATTCTCACGAATGAAAACAATGGATTGAATATGAACAACCAGAAAATTCTTTTGTTACCAAAACCATATGATGAATTACTAAATGATTTTAAACGTTTTATGTTATTAAGATGTTTTTGTCAAAACCGAATTATTTTTGCTATAAATAAATATATAACTAAAACTATGAGGGTGTGGGTGTGGGGTGTGGGTGTGGGTGTGGGTGTGGGTGTGGGTGTGGGTGTGGGTGTGGGTGTGGGTGGGTGTAGGTGTGTGGGTGTGGGTGTAGGTGTGGGGGTGGGGGTGGGGGTGGGGGTGTGAGTGTGGGTGAGGATGTGGGTGTCACTATTACTCTTCTCTCGAATCATACCCACACCCACACCCACACCCACCCACCCACACCCACACCCACCCACCCACACCCACACCCACCCACCCACACCCACACCCACACCCGTTTCGGGCTCTGATGTGTAGACTCAACTATTGGCGCTCAAATGTCGGAGGCTGAACTGTTGTGTCTCTTTCTAAAAATAAATGAAATATTTGTATTCTGCACACTTGGCGCTATTAAATTATATAGACTAGCGATTGGAAAGCCAGAAAGTTGTTTTTCGATACCTGAGGAGGACCTCAAATATCAAAATTTGAATTGTGATCATGTGTAATATAGAATTATGAAGAATATTCAGAGTTCGATGCTGATTTCCAAAGTAATAAAGTCAGGTTTAAGTTTTTCAGGACCTCTGATCGGTAATTCGACGCAACTTTTGACATATTAGAGTGTAATTAATGTGTGATAATTAACTAATAAACGAATAGCCATCAACTACATGCTTCACTTTATCTTATTTTACTATATTTTGCTTGTTCGATAAAGTTGGAGATATTTCACTTTACTTTACTTTACTTTACTTTACTCGATAAAGCAAAGTAGACTAACTTTACTTTATCAAGTAAAGATAAAGTGCCACCCCTAATTGTTCAGCATTGTATATATCTGCAATATTACGATAGCAATTAATACGCTTGCTCGCATTTATAGGAGATACATCTATGTATGTTTTTGTAAATAATCAAATGATAAATCTTCTGCAAAACAGATTCAGTTGTTCTCTATCAATAAAGCAGAAGATATTTAGAAAATAGCAATATCCTCATTGTTTATTATGCACTCGTTATATTTTGATTATCTGCAAGGAATCGGATTAATTGGCGAATCTTGTCTATTATGAACAGATTCCTCCCGCCATTCTTCTATCATTGTCAAGTGCTAGTTTTAGGCTGTGATCGTGCAATTGTTCGGTTTTTGTTTTACATTCATGAATTCATACATATTGGGTTGATTGACGATTCTAAGTCTAATTCAGTATATTCTTTTGTAGCTGAGTCAAGTTATTATGTCATCCACAATGCTTTTAGTGATTTTCCAAGATGAAATGTATCTTCCTAAAATATGATAAGGTTATGTGTTGTTAACTATTCTCTTCAGTATCATTTAGATACTTCTTCTATGAGAAAATGTGCTAGGCTTCGGCTACTTTTTAAATTGCTAAAATTCATAGCTCTGTGAGATTAGACTTTGAATATTATTCATTCTTTATTGATTGCAACGAGTGACCTATAAGTTATTTTATTGTTCTATTGATTACTTCTCAATTTTAAATCTCCATGGAAATTCCTTCCATCAATGGTGGTCTTAGGAAATAGTCGAAGAAAATTTGTCTAATTATTTTTGTAAAAATTGGTATTACTGAATTATAATATGAACTCATTCGAGTTTATCTCATTATTTAATCATTCTCAACTTTTGTTGAATAATAGGATATGATAAACGATCACAAGAGAAAGAATAATCCTAGTGCATTTTAAGAGCCAATTTCACTTCACTTTTTAGAAACAATTCTTAGTTATCTATGCATTGCAAACGTTTGAAAACTTTGTCTTAGGGTGCATCAGATCATGATTCATCGTCAACAGATAAGCGATGTTATTTTTTTTTATCATATAGAAATGTGTTTTGTAAGAAAATGGAGAGAAGAGAAATTGTCTTGTCTTTATTATTCAGCAAGAATGAAGTTGACATTGACTCATTTTGTTTGTCTATATCTATCTATCAACGAAAAAACGACTGCAAATCGTATTTTAGATCAAAAATATGATTTGCAGTCGTTTTTTCATTGATAGTATATGTATTCACACCTTATATTCACTAGTTTCAGTCTATCGTCTACATTCTCCTGCATAATTACAATTTTCTTCATCAAACCATTCAATACATGGGACCGGCACCGTCAAACTCAAGCGCTGAATCAAAATGCTGTATCTGTAATAAAGAAGCAGTCGCGTATAATTGTAAAGGCTGTTCTAAAGATTTTTGCTTCGATCATTTAACAGAACATCGTCAAACCCTCAAAAAGCAATTCGTTGAAATTGAAAATGATCGTGATAAATTTCACCTAAAACTTGTCGAACAAAAGAAAGAGTCAAGAAAACCTCCATTTATACAGGAAGTGAACCTATGGGAGCAAAAGTCGATTGAGAAAATTAAACAAACAGCAGAAGAATGTAGACAAATATTGATTAAACAGAATATACAACATTTGACTGAAATGGAAGATAGATTATCTCAATTAACTGAAGAATTTAAGAAAATTTATCAAGAAAATGAATTTAATGAAATCAAGATAGACCGAATTAAAACACAATTAACAAATCTAACAAAAGAACTTGACCAATTTCGAAATGTGAGAATTAAGAAAGAGAACACATCGTTTATTGAAAAATTTTCAGTTGTTGTTTCATCCGAAACTTATCAAGAAAAGAAAGTAAATCAAATAGATTTGAACAAAAATCAAACGAAGTTAACAGAAGACTTTAATCGATCTTCAAACACTTCAAATCCGATTGATTCTTCACCTTTAGTAGACATAAATTCCATCCATTTATCATCTGGTAAGTATGATCATGACATATACATTGGTAAATTAGTTTTGCTCCAAGAACATGAAATTTTTTCAGGAGATTTGACTAAGAACTCACTATAGAGAACTATTAAGTTTTTATCCATCAATATTACAGAATCATATAGCATCAGTAATATTTTATTAGAGAGAGCATGTATGAACGTTACGATTGTTTCATTCGAATTCTTCTCTATAAAGTTTTTTTGAAAAATAAATTTTACCAAATTAATTATTTTGATCCAAGATTCTTTGTAGAGAATCGTAAGCATTTATAGAACTAAAAGAGCAGTTATTAGTACCTGTACTATGTAGGTATCAGATTGAAATACTCATATATTAATATTTGAAACATCGTTTTTTATGTAAACACTAACGATTATCATTGATTGAATGCGAATAAAATATGTTTCGAATATTCTTTATTGATTGTATTTATCCATATATCTGTTTATTGGTAAACGTCTGGAGCAGCTACCTATTCATATTTTGAATGATTTACATCTACTTTCATTGTATGATTTTTCTTACAAGCAAGACTCATACGAAGTTAGATTTGTTACAGTTGAGTGGCTCTGATGCTTATAAACTATAGCATGAGAAATCAGGAAGTTTGTATATCAAACTGCGCAAATAAGATACATTCTCCTTAAATTTAATTTCATTAAGATCATCAAAAGTTAACACATCTCTCTGTAGGCCCAAGTGAGTCTCACTAGAATTATTTAGATAACTTTAACATGGTTCTGACAGAAATTCACATGATACGTTTTTGAAAGCATGAGTTGAACCATTCACATCATTTGTTCATAGAAGTCTTAATTACTATTTTCGAGAAATATCCATCTATACGATTAATGTCTTGTCAATGCATGGCTTTCTTTCTTATTGTACAAATAATAACCAGATCGATGTGTGAAGAGCTTGTTCCATCCTTCATGTTTCGCAAGTATCAGTAAGCTACGCATCCCTATCCATGTGGATTTTGTTGGTAATGAGACGAAAACAAGTTCAAATTTCTTTCCCTAATAGCAATAATTAGGAAAACAGTAATGGGAATGTTAGTGCACGGTTTAGTTCCAAAAGTACCATCGATTTGAGTTTCTGTTGTTGTAATTTTGCTGTTTATATGAGCTAAATAAAATTTTCTATTTCTCTTGATACGATACAGTGATGGTTGTGTGTTTCGATGGAATAATGACGATTATTTTTGCGAATAAGTGTATAGTTTAGATGTCTAATTATTTGAAAATCTGTCAACATTTTAAAAAATCATGGTATATTCAATGAAATCGTTTTTCTCTATTTTAAAGTACATGATACTGGTAGCAGGACTGATCAAACGCATCAAGAATTTGTTGATCTACAAGATGAACTTTATGGAACTGATAATGAACGCCATGCTACTTTTAGTTCAGATTTTGAGAATGGTAGTATTGATTTGTTGTCGTCGAACAATGACGGTACTTCATCAACATCTGTCAGATTTCGTAACGCAACAAATCAACATGCACATGATGACAACAAGGACACAAGAGCAAGTGGTAAGGTTTCCAGAAACGATATACGAAATAAAACAACTGAAGACAATGATTTCGACGAGTCTCTAACAATTATTACCTTTCTGAAGTCAACAATCTGTACTGACATTAATACTAATGATAGAATGCCTCAAGGTAAATAAAAATAATCGTTATGATCTACGTAGAAAAATGAATCATTTATTAAAGGTGGTCAAGTCGTACGTAGAAGGCGAATTAATGCAGCTGCTCATCGTAAGATAAAGCTAAATAAATATGAAAAATTCACTCGCGTTTATCTTTAAGATACGCGAGGTAAAAATTATAGTTCTGATGAATTTAATTCTGGTAGTCGTAGGCTTCATTCAGAGTGTGACAACATTTGTAGTGGGTTTAATTTAAACATTGTCGATTGCACTACTGATTCGGCGATGTCGCCAAATGATAGCAAATCATCAATGTTTGACAAGCCATCCCATCGGATAGATCAATATGAAGGTTATGACTACAATGAAAAAGCAAGTTTTAGTGGTTCGAAAAGTGATGTAGCAAGTCAAAACAGTAATATTAATGATTCTGACGAGTTTCGTAATTCATCAACACGTGCTAGTTTCAATATGAGTGGCCGCATGCATCGAGGTAAATCATAATCTATATTTCTACATAGAAAAACAATTTGTTAAATAAAGGTCGTCGAGGTCTATACAGAGAACAACGTAGATCAGCTGTTCGTGGTAAAATCAATTTAAATAAGTAGGAGAAACTATAGATTTTATTTATCTTCTAGATAATCCTGGTGCTGGTCGTGGCAGCGCTAGCAGAAGTAAGTATATTCAAGTTATTTAAATAATATATATATTTGTGTTATTTGTTTATTGTTTAGATTGTTTCAACTGGTAGGTTTTATTTGTAAGTTATATGTTCGCATTTATTGAATTATTGTTTTTTAAAAGTAATAAACCCGGTCATTTTCGTCGTGAGTGCCCTGAAGAAAGAAAACTTCGTGGTATGATTTATTTAATTTGTTACATCCTTTAATTCTGTATTATTTTATAATATCTTTTAGATAATGGTGGCGATGGTTTCCATAATTCTGATGTTAAAACCCACATTTTAAAAAACTGAATGAAACGTACCGTGTAATGCGTTTCCAAGACCGTGGGATGTGTTTCAGAATATTTCTTCAAAATGAAACTTGTTTCGCAGTATTTTTACTTACATAGAACGTGTTTTGCTGCCTTAGTTTTTTGAAATGATACGGAACGCTTCTTTTTGAGATAAAATTTCGAAACATTTCCAAAGCAAAACGCTGTCAAACATGTTTCGACCGACAAGCAACGCGTCCCATACAATCACTATTTGAAGATAACACGAAGCTCGTTTCTTCTTTTGAATCCACTTTGCATCATTTTTGCTTGGAATAATGTAGATTGCATCCATTTTGCTGCAGCATCTCGCAGCAATTCATCTTTAAAAAGCATGTGTGTTAAAAACAAATCAACTCTTTCACGTGATTTTGAAAATGATGCGAAATAGTTTTACAAAAGCTTGGCTGCTCGCATACAACATTTCAGCATGGTTATGTGTGGAAAAAAAGTATTTTTGCATAATTTACAATTCTTGATGATAATCATTATGAATTTGTATATGGACTACCTAATAGAGACTGATCATATTGTTCACAACACGACTAGAATATGATTTTCGTTCGTACATTACCGATGTAGTTAAGTATGGCTTATTGATAAAAGAGACCTGAATAACAGAAAAAAAACTTTCCTTCATTTATCAATGTATTTCGATTTAGGGATCATGAAGTTACATTTACAAAGATTTATTCAATCAGAAAAAAATTTGAAAAATTTAAAATAAATTAAGGAAAAAATGAAACCCGTACTTGGATACAAGCAACGAGAAAATTATAATTTTTCATTCATTCAGATGTGAAACAGAAAATTTATTCGAATCAGAAGTTTACATCAAACATCTGAATCAGAATTACTTGACTATTTTAGTTGAACAGTTTATGCACATATCTTCTACTCCTATGTTCTCATATTCGAATCTACCTCTTAACTCTATCAAAACTCATGTAGGTTATAGCTCAGAAGTTCTATGAATCAGTGTAAACAAGTATATAGACAACTGAAGTCGTACGAAGTACTTGATGGTTTTCAGGTTTGTTTTCAAGCTTCCGAAATATACGATGCTACAGTTTGAGAAACGCTGCGAAACGCATTAATGCTGGTTGATTTGACGCATTTCGCACGTTTTGAACAGAATGATACGAATTGTCTTTAAGAAATGATCGTTTCACAACGCATTTTTTTCGCAGAAATTTACGCCACAGGAAGACATAACAATCAAGTATGTATTTAATTTTTGAAAAGAAAAATTCAATCATTCATTTAAGTTTCTGATGATATTTTCAATCAACGTAAATACATATAGGAATTACGATAGAACAATGATCGAAGTCATTTTTTTTTGTAGTTAGTGATTATTCAATTGAATATTATGTTCCATCAGCTGTACCGACAAGTGTAGACGATATATTTATTGAAGCAATAAAACAGGATGAAAACTTTGGAAAATATCCTATAACATAAATTCTTTGTCCACCATTAGGTAATATAGTATTCTTTATTTTATTTTTAATATTTAATTTAATAATGGCTTTTTTATATTTCATTAGGCAAAGTCAAACCAATTGAATTAAATGAAGAAACTAATGTTGACACACAAGTTCTATCAAATACTCGTTTTGCTCACTTTGAAGATCTAATAGCTATTCAATGTTATATACTACCTTGTATTCAAACTGGATCTGATAAATCAGAAATTTTATTTTTTTTTAACGACTGTTCATTCTTAATCAAACGATTATTTAGGCTGTTTATTTTACCAATTATTTCAACTTTACTTCAATGTCATGCCGATGAATTATCTAATCGAAAACATCCACCATCACCACTTTGCCTTATTATATCATCTACATGTGAACGTGCTTTACAAATAGAATGTGAAGCAAGGAAACTCGCATGTCGAACTGCTGTAGTACCATATGAGTTACTTCATAAATGCACAGCGAGAAAATGTATTCTCGTAAAATGCCTGAGTGATTATTATTCGTACCTATATCGTTTTGTTTTTTTTTTGTTGAAAGGTTCTGCAGCTAATGGCCATAATATGTTTACTGTATCGGATCATCTTCAAGAAAGCTGTCATACAGGATTCTTTATTTCAGATTTCACTAAAAAAAAGTGAAATATCTCGTTATAGATGAAGCTGATCGGTATGTAAAAACGACGCCGATAATTTTAAATCTAATTTCGATTGGCTTCTTTTTTTTGTTTTTCTGAAGAATGTTAGATACAGGTTTGGAACCTGATATACGCAGATTAGAAAGTCTTGGTTTATCATCAAAAGAAGAACGTATTACATGGACATTTTCCGCAACATTTTCTAATGAATTACAACAATTAGTAAAACATTTCCTTCGTGAAGATTATGTTTTTTTTTTCTATGATAGTGCGAATACCGATGTAGCACGAATTGAAGAAGTACCACTTACAAAGAAAAAAAATTCGTCTTTTTCAATTACTCGAACAAAACCTTAGTAGGAAGCATTAGTTAAAGAGAATTTAGTGAGAAAATTTGTTTGTTTTGTTTTTTGTTTAGAATCTGGACGTTATTTGATATTTTTTGAAACACAGCGATCAGCTGATTATATCGCTGCATTACTTTCAGAAAAAAGTTTCATGAGTACAACAGTTTACAAATGGAAAATATTCAATACTTGCTGTAACATTCGTTATTGCTCGTGGTTTAGATTTTCCTCTAATTGATTTGGTTGTTAATTATGATTTACTGAATACAAATGATTTTTATATTCATCGTATTAGTCGAACAGATAGAATAAATCATAACTAAAACAAAGAAAAGTAGGTATAATTTTGAAAAGTGTGTTTTTTTGTCCATAGGTCGTGCTGATCATTTGAATAAATCCATATTACTTTTTGATCCAGGTCGAGAGTCTGATCGAAAAACTGCTCCTGAACTTATACTAAAATTAAGCCGAGTATATTGTGTTGTATGAATTCAATATGAATTTTTAATTCGTTTCTTTCATTAGGTTGGTCAAGTAATACCAGCATTTCTTAAAAAATTTGGTGATGTTGGCAATATTAAATTTTATCATGATGACCGTAATTAGAGAAATAGTAATGTAATCCTGATTTCTGTTATCATTTCTGAAAGATTTTCTGGGTTTTTTTTCGTTTTTGTTCTAAGTGCATGTAGAAAATAATCATTTAAATCGTCAGCATCAAACAATTGGTACTATTGTTGGTACAGCTTCTCTGGTGCAACTTTTGAAGATTGAAATTAAGAAAAATGAATTGTTATTCCGTTGCTTTTTCATAAATAGAGCATCGAGTTCTAGAATTATGGTGTGTGACTTTCAGAAATCTATAAAATTCAGACTAAAATCATGTGTAAAATCATAAAATTTTTTTTTTCAGTTTTCAATACAGGAAAGCTGAGTGATAACATCATCCGACATGATATAATTATCGACAATTCATGAACAATGATTTATTTCGAATCATACATTCGATACTGTGCTCACTACATTCGACAAAATAATATATCTAGCAAGTGATGAAACAACTAGATGAAGAACAAAAAGACGGATGTATGTCATGAAACTATTTGATCTCTTGATTTGATAATTGTCGTTCAAGATCACTGCCCATATTTGGTACGGATAGACGAAGCTAGAATAAAAGCAAGTATTTGAATTGATATAGAACTCAAATTGATATATTACAAATTTTGATCATATTTTCATGTACATAAGCATTTTATTTAGGGGTGCTTCAATTTCGTCTGATAGTCGAGATTCGCCAACAATCAGTACTGATCATGAAAATTAGATTCTTAAAAATGAATTCGTAGATAGATTAAAAATTCATTTCTATTCAGTTCATTCTTTGCAACTCACTTTTAGACTGCTAATCAAAATATAGGATTCTATAAGCAATATTTTTATTGGATTCTTTTAAAAACATAGGAGAAAATACTTCAGAGATTACACCTTCGCATCCACATCCACACTGTTGTCTACTTTAGTTATTCATACTATAATAAACATTGAATAAGACTGATGATAAATTCCAAACAGACAAGGAAATTTGGGTGTGAGTGTGAACGCATGAAAGTTCAACACCCACACCCACACCCTTCTAGAAGAAGAATCCAAATTCATTGATAGCTACACTATATTTCTCTTTTATCTCACATAGAGATGAACAATAAACTGTATACTGGAAGTATCACACTAAGATCGAGTTCGTTGGAAATATTGCAATAAAAATGAGTAAACTGTAATTCCGAATAGCAACGTTCAGAAATTTTGTTTTCTATTATCTTCCTTGCAGAAAAGAATATGGGGGTACACTTATTCGCTGTCAGCAGTGCACAAAAATTTGAAAAACAGTTATAAATATTCTTTCTTACAATGAGAATAGATAGATCAAAATATTTGTTAAGTTTGTCATATGGCAAAGTTCCATCGCTCACAATGAAAACAGTCAACTCAATTAATCGTTGGTACTTCACGGTGAAGTGACAGATGATCAAAGTTACTATCAAGGACGCATATGTTAACAAATCTATTCTACTCACTTCCATTGATAGATGAAACGATAAAAAATAGGCTGCTATTACTTTCTTTTCTTTATGATGTTTCGGTAGAACAGAAAGAACAAAATCTTTTCCGTAGGTACCATATATGTCAACTTTGCTCAGAATTGTAACTTTTGATTTTCATACACGACTGGGTGTTGATTTTGAAATATACTTTCTCTTCAGATGTACGTACACTTTTTTGAAATCTTTAGTTGTCGATGGAGATAGCTTTTTGTATAATACGATTTCTGTTTGACAAACATTCCATTTCAAGACAAAATAAATAGTTTTCATAATTCTAAATCAATAATGGACTTTGTTTAGAGTCCAAGAAGTTGTAAATTTGTGAATTATAAAATGGTAGAAGAAAAAGTACAGATCGACTTAAAGAAAAATGATTAATACAACATAAGTAAACGAACATGTACATGTCAGAGTCATTTATTTGTTCTTATTTTTTAACACAAGTACTTGATCAGCATGACTAATATTGACAGCTACCGGCGTTGGAAGATAGAATGGTTCACCATCCATTTGTGCTGTCATTGGACAACGAAGTTCGATACACAACCGATTGCATTGAGCGATTCGATTGCCACGAAAACCAGCATGGATTGCAGCCATATGTGTAGTACTCAATCCGACAACTTCAATTTTTCGATCGCCAAAATTTTGTGGTTGGAAACGACTACTTGAAGCTGTTTGTGTTGTCGATAAAGTCTCCGTTTGATCCATATCACTATCGTCCAAACTTTCTAATTCATTGTTTTCTTGGGTATCACTTGCACAATTCAATATATCATGTGAACCCATCGATATTTGGTTGATAAAAGTTCCATCTAATTTAAGAGTCGATAATTGATTGACACGATCCATTATTGAACTTCTTATTGATTTGCCCCATGGATTTGTACCAGATGCATAGCCTGGAATATTGAGTATGACCAATGTGTGACAATTACGTACCGCATCAGTAATATCTTGATCATCGCATATCAAACGAATATAAGAACCTAAATTCCACATTTGTGCCCGAGCAAAATCATCGAAATATTTGCAACTTTCATTCACATACATGAATTTATTTTTCAATGGTGACGAAAATTTTGATGGATCACGTGTACGTTCAACATGAAAATCGAGTGCAATAGCAGCATCTAAGCCAAAGCTCATGTAGTTAATAAAGCGTGTATTTGGCAATTTCTGATGGTTTTCATATGAGGATCGATTGGTTTCTCGAATGAATTTAGGAGGATCGAGTAACGTCTGAAATATTCGGCTGATATTGAAACCACTTTCATGATGTTGCTGTGTCATCGAAGCTAATGTTGCCGCATCGAATTCTTCAAGCTGAACTTTCCAACGATCAAGTACAGCAACTTGAGCTTGTGAAGTCTGTATAAGAGTATGAAAAAGACGTTTCGGATCGTATTGTTCACCCCAAGCCAAGACACGTGAAAGATCATTACCTGTTCCCAACGGACAAATGCTTACTGGAGGATTATTTCTAGATGGGTAGGCCTCAGCTAGACGGCTAAGAACCCAACCAACAGTACCATCACCGCCGAACACGCAAATGCGCATATTCGGTAGCGAAGAGTAGATATCCAGAGCATGAGTAATTGTAGCATTGTTTTCTAGAAGAAATACTTGACGTGGATTAAGTCTTTGCAAGAGTTCTCGATATATTTTCTCGCCAACTTGACCACCGGATCGTTTATTTATGAAAACCAGAACAGGCGTATACGGAAATGAGTTTGATTCGGCATTACTGTTGGTTGAATACGAAAATGATCGTGCTTTGAAACTAGTTGGAGATTCACTTGAACGACTAAGCCACTGTGGCCGAACAATAATATTTCTATTGATGAAAATCAAAATGTTTAAAGAAAACCATTAACGAACACTGGTAGAAGGCTTTCAACATGCTTATCAGTTTAACGGAAAATATTATCGAGAATTTGTATAATCATCGAAATCATGCGAAATTTATTTCTTTTCAATCAGAAGAAATATCGTGAGAAACTTACTGAAAGATACCATAGTCACATTGAAGCTTATCTTGAGGAGCAAGTTGTTCCCAACACGAATGATGATAACATCGGTAACACCATAAGCAAACGAGACCATGTGAAGCGTCCAATAGATCATCACTCAAAGTTCCTGGTATACAACTGATCATCGATTTCATCTGATCGATAATGTCTAAGGGAGATACCATAGATGTTGGTTGACAATGCATGCATGGTTTTAGAAGTGTTGACACATGAGACCAAAAATGTTCATCGAATTTCAATAGATTATCTTTGTTATCCATCAACGAGTTTCCTTGTTCTGTGTTATCGACAAATGATGGACGACAGGATTGAATAGAATCGTTATTTGCCGTCGATGAACTAGTCAAATGATGTGCATGCATTATCAAATCACATGATGCACATTGTAGAAGTGCTGATTGACCTGTTTGCTTCCTCTTTGCACATGAACCATAGACACATGACGGAGCAGCCGATGAATCATCGGATGTAAGAGGAAACCAGCAGTGAGATGAAGGACGAGCACGACCACTCCAATCAACTCCGTATGGAACGACATTGTCGTTACTGGATTCCGATGTAGGTGCATCCATGATGAATTATCTAGAATTTAGACAATAAAGTCAACGTTAAATATGTCATAAACCTTGAAGTTATAGATCTCTGTGTTCAACATCCAAGACCTATTGAATTGAAACTACTTATTATACGGCTGCGAGTGTAGGTGTGGTTACTGCTGGAGAGAAGAATTACACACCCACACCCTTCAGAATTTGTTTTGTTCGTTCTGATGTAATTGTGTTGTAAAATCAGGAAGGAGAGAAATACAAGCGTCTAGGTATTAAAAAAAAAAGAAAAATATTTTGTAAAGAAAGAGTTGCAATGGAACAGTTCGGAAGGCAAATAAACATATCCTTAAAGAATTGTTTGTGGTAGTAAAAGAAGAATTATGCTTTGTTGAGATCAAATTTTATTGGTGAGACTGAAGAAACAAGAAAATCAATTCGAAAAAAATGCTTAACAACTACGAACATGATATAATAGAAGCATGCAATAACAACAGTGTTTTACTTGAAGTCATTGGAGATCATCTACAAGTTCGTAATAGAAAGAATATGGCTATTTAAAATTAACAAGTATGTGTTTTTATCGGAAAGCCTTTTCTCAGTTTTGTTGCTATTAGAAATGTCTACCGAGTAGGATCAGATCTTATAATGTGTTGATTACAAAAAACATATTTGCAAATTTTCATCCTAAAAAAGACTTTTATGTTAAATCGATGAGAGTCAAAGTTCAAGAATAAATTTCAAAAGGCAGAATCGAGCGCTATACTAGAGATAATACAAAACAATGATTTTCAATGTACTAATGGTTTAATTATAGACTTATCAATTGTATGAATTCGATAAGAAAAAATAATATAAGTTATAAGTAACATCTTTTTTCCGATGAATTTAAATAGTATGGCATATGAACTTAATCTAACTGAATATATTACTCCAGTCTTTTCTCTTGTGTCGATTGCAATAAGGTAAGATAAGGTAGAGTAGGGCTACAAAATTACTCCGCGAATATCAATGGTTCCTATGGATTTGTCAATAGTTTCACAATTAACTTACATGTTAAGAAGTCTCAAGAAAGTTATAAATTAAAGAAACATTTTTATTTTTCATTTTCTACTTTACATTAGCTGATCCGGATATGATTGCCTTCTATTTCCTTTCTGTATATGGTGTTGACCAATCGTGACGGAATTTCGTCCTTTTTTTCGAACGTTTTAATGTGAAGATCTTAAAGTTTAAAATTCCAATATAGTATAAAGTATTAGTATGTTTATTAATACTCCGATCTGCTATTGGTTGAATCACACGTTTTGTTTATCAATATCAATTACTTTTTTTCCTAAGTATATGTAGTTTAACTTCATATGAAAGAAATCAATTTTTTTCTTAATTCTAAGTTTTGAAATTCGAATTCATAATTTCTTGCCCGTGGAGTACTCCAAGATCGGCCTATGAAGATTTGTATCGGAAAAGTCTTCATATCTTTCATATTATTTCTTTAAATTTCAATAAAAATATTATATTCATGATCAATGCAACGAATTCTATCAGATCAAATACAAAAATTCCAAATTGAGGATCAAAAATTTTTTTCGATTCCTGAAGGTACCCCAGGTTCTGATTTCATAAAATAAAAAGTAATGAAACCGTTGCACTCTTTTTTTTTATGAAACGATTCTCCTTTAATGAAATTCTGTAACGGAGTATTTTTTTAAAGAAGTTTACAAAAGCTAAGCCAAAGTTTAATAACATGGGTTCATTTGATAGCTCTACAAAATACACATATAACTGATAAAATGCTTCAAAGTCAGTCCTCAATATAGGAAAGAAAAAACCAAAATAAGCGACTTTAGTTACGGAATTTCACGAAAAACAGGCAGTGTCTTTCGAATAGAATATCTTACTTCTCTACCATCGAGTTTTTTTCTGTTGTTCATATTTTGAAAGAATGAACCATTAGCTGTTGGTTGGTATCAGATTGATAAACGAATATTCACTTAGCTAGTTTCTATTGGTACCTAATCTACAATGATCAAATATATTTTTTTTGTAAAAGTTTAACTACGCTCTTTCAAATAATATGCTTAATTTTCTTAACTTTTGACTTCGAACCTTCGCTTGCGAAAGTGACTGTTAGCTGGCTATAGCCATATTAGAAATCAATCCCTTATGAAACAAAAAAAACTCATGTATATAAGAAAAATAGAGAGACATATGAAGATTAATTATGCAAATGTGTGCTTTATACCATTTCGAAGAAGAATTTTTCTAGTCTACGTACTGACTATTCTGCTGGTGATTTCGATCAACTGGATAGAGCGTTAGATGGGACAGACTTCTGACAATTTTGAATAGCATACGACATAATCGTATCGCTAGAAAAATCGTAATACAAAGACATGGGGTTTAGATAAAATAGTTTCTTTCCAAAGAGATCAACTGAACGGGCTCAACATACTGTAGCAGATTCGAAAAATCTTGAGAATAAGTATAAATATAATTTCGAGTTTTTCAAGAAAGATACACAATACCTGAATCTATATGTCTACAATTTTTTTCTTTATTCATTACAACTATAGAGATCAAACCAATGAGTAATTCATCAAAAACACAGGTACAAAATTACTATGAAATAAAGCATGAATACATATTAATATATGTTGTGCAAACAGTAAACAAAAATAAGCATATGAATGAAACTAAAAACATTGAATAAAATGATTAGATAACCTTCATAACCAATCAAAATGATCAGAATACTATATATACAGTTAAGATAAGCTACACTCACACGCTGCACACAATTTTATGTATAGCTTATTCTGGCGTTTTTAAACCAATAGGATTACTTTCCATGTTTTATTCTCAACTATCCAGAAATTATTTGACTTTGACATATGTTTAAAAAAATCTACAATCAAATATGTTAGTTGAGTTAAAAGATACTGTTGAAAATAAGATGTTTATGAAAACAAGGCAGAAGTCCAATTTAAATTGCATACTATTTTCAATTCGACTGACTATTGATTTTAATCTTTCGAGACAGAAAACTCAAACATGAGTCGAATCAAGACTTGATTGTAGATCGAAAAACAATAATAATATTAAAATATACTTGATTTATATTTCATATTGGAACAGTATTATTTTATTTGCATTCAAGAAAAATCTATATATTCTCAACAAAAACTTGAAAAAAAAATACTTTCTCGATTATTTTTTAATACTAAATTTCATTTTTCTGAATTAAGTATTAAGTGGTTTCCGTTTTGAATCACATTTTATCATGTAAATAAAAATCAAAACAAATTTCATCAATTATTTTATAAAAGAAGATTGAATAAAAAAATTTTGAATCCAAATGTTTACGTATGAGACGAGCTGTCAGCGAGTTATTGAAAATAATAAAACAGCAAAGTCTGTTGTCTTACTCTTCTTAATGTAAAATACTTCCGTTTTGTAGATCTGTTTGAAAGAAATTTAATAAAAGAAAACATCTTTATCAAGTGAGGTATACAAACTCACATTCCAATTATTAATCCCAATTTAATAATCAACCTGTTGGGTTTGAAGATTTAAAACTTCCCTTTCCTGAGCCAAAAAATTTTTTTCTTCGATTTTTTTTTCATGTAAAGGTGTATCAAGGTCCCCTCTATGTGTGCTATAAAAATCGGAACCATCCAAGGTCGGGAAGTCTCTGAAAAAACAGGTTTTTTGGAGACATATGCATTAAAAAAAATTTTTTATTTTGCATTTTTCTCGAAACTAGTTTTTTGGGTATCAAAAACCACTTTTCCCCCTTTTTTTCCGCCATTTCAAGTCCGATCGGGCTGAAAATTGTTTTGGTGAGACCTCAAGTGATTTGGGTTGGGCGTTTTTTTTTTTGGATGCCTTCTACCAATCAAGTTTGGCAGGCTTCGCAAAATTTTTAGGATCCAAAAAACCTAGAGATTTTGCAAAGTGCTCAGTATTTTGGTTCTCCAGCCGGAAGTATTTGGAATTTTTGAAAAAAAAAAAACGCCCACCCCGATTGGGTCCGTCTACCCACAGTAAAAATTTCAGCTCAAATGGATGAAATCTGTGGATTTGCGGGGGGAAAACTTTTTGCAAGTTTTCGACCTTGGGGTCTCTGGAAGTCCATGAAGATGACGTCTGGCAAATTTGTGTCTATGACAACTTTTGCTCTACTACTCGAGGTCTATCTACCCTGCAAGTTTCAGGAATTTTCGTTCGGCCGTTTCTTAGAAACGCCGGAAAGGGGGGGGGGGTCTCCTTAATGTGTACATTGTGAATTCGACAGTATATTGCATTTGTTCTGTTTTTGTGGTGTAATTAGAAAGTTCAGAAGAAACTTTTGAACAGCGAACTCACAAAAATATATTAAAGTTCTTGAAAGATTGTTCTATGATCTATTCAACAGGATGGAAGTTTTGATAGTTAAAGAATAAAAAGAATAGTACTCTGTTTAGATTTATGTTGTCATCATCAATTTAACGTTCTAAGTGAAGTTGAGATTGAGATTTAATAGTTTATAATAGAGCGATTTTGATATATTACATAGCTTCTGGCTATTAATATATCATTGATAAACTCTACTATTCAATATCGAGGTACCATAATTTGTCTCTCTTTATCAGACTACTTCTCTGATCAAAAGAAACTCAACGAACATGCGTTCAAAAATTACTCCAATGACTTTTCTACTATAGAAAATCGTATCTGGATCTACAGAAATGTATGGGTGGCAAGAATATGAGTTTTGGACGTGAGTGTAGATAGTAGTGAATGCGCTTACAGACATCTGTGTGTTGTGACTTGACACATGATACATTCAAACATTGACATAAACAGCATCAAAACTAAGAAATTTTTTTCAGAGATTCATGTAGGACTACATTTCTCAAAATCTTTTGATTCTCTTTATAAAAATGAACTAATCTGTAGAATAACATTCGACATTATGCCTTACTATAAATGAATAAAAGTAAAACCATCGATTTTGTTGTAGCCATAAATATAGCCTCGTCTGACCTCATTCTTTTTAACATGGGTGTGGATATTTGTGTGTAGAGTATAAATAAAGATAGGAAATTGAGAAAATACTTGCTAAACTGTTGTGGTTCGAAAGTAAGATAGTTTTAATCAGATAGTACTTATTTTCAGTTTTCTGTTCAATAAGTATTTCGTTTGAAGTGACTATTGTACCTACACGTGTATACCCACATCTGTGTGCACGTGTTAGCTTATTTTATTTACATTACGCAGGAAAGTAGCGAGAAAATTTTCAAGGAATTATTCCAAGTACAGTTCAATGCCACATATTCAATTATTCCGTGTTTTCGGCGATCTCGGGTTCAATATTCAAAGCAACAATTGCAATGCTGAGCGGTGCAGTCAAACATTGTCTATGATCGTTGGTTTGCTGCTGTATAGATCTTTCTCATATCGAATAAGTTGTATTAAAAAACCAAAGTTAGGTGCTGCAATGCGTCGACGAGCGATTAAATGTTCATAGGCGTCTGATACAGTCTCGTGATAGTACCTAAAATATTGAATCAATAATCTACTTCGAGAAACAAATAGAAATTTTACTTCAACAAATAAGCAAGAATTATCGATGAAGAACGAGAAATACCCATCTGACAGTGAACAAGAACTTTCTCCTGTCTAGATTTGCATGTGTCCAAAAACTGATTTGTTTTGTCAAAATGTTGGCTAATATTGAAACCGAGTTCATCGTTGATTTTAATCCATAACACATCAAAATTCTCAAGTATTTGTTTATCCAAAGGAAAATCGCATACATTAATAATATGCCGAATGTCGAGCTCCTTTAATAAACTCATATTGTTAGCATGTCCTAAATCACCATGATATAGAAAATCGTCGATTATCATCGATGGTTTTCGAGCACCTTGAAGATTTTTTGAACATTCTCTCTGTTTTGATCTAAGTCCACATAAATGCTTTAGATAATCAATTTCTTCATTCGTTGCTTGAAGGTTTTCTGTTAGGTAGTTCTTCATCACATCAATCATCCATACGTTGGATCTAATCGTGGTACCAGCCATTTTTCACCTATTGATAGATTAATTTCAATGTCAAATAATATCTAGAAATGTTAAAAATTGCAATTGTTTGAACAGAACACAAGGCACAACAAAAAATTCCGTTCTCTTCTTACTCAAGTCTGTCGCTGCTTGTTGTGAAATTGTTACAAGTAAAAGAATTTTTCTTTATCGATTAGTAACCAAGGATATCTGCTTTAATACATTTAAACTGTTTATTAAAATAAAACGCAACTACATATATTGCCGGGTGAGCAATACTTCCAATATCATAATATCTAAGCGCATTTATGAAAAATACCTAAGAGAGAACAGAGAGACAAAGAATCAATCATATAACAGAAAGAGAAAATGTATATGATGTAAAGAAGAGAAAAATCATGCCATATAGGGGTACGTACAAAAGTGAGAGATGAAAACTGCTGCTTAAAATACTTCTCAACATTGTTAAATGACGATTCGTTATTTTACCTTTTTTGTCTCTTCTTGTCATTTTTATGTGTCAGCGTAATGCCCATTTATGGTAATGTTAACCAACGTTGTGTCATTGATTCAGCAGCTGTATGAGTCATCAACTGGTTGAGTCATCATCTTATAACAATACTTGTTGACTATAGTCTGATGAATTAAAAGTCCGAGTTGAAGGTATGTTCACATCAAGTGTTATTCTAATACTAGGTGGGAAAAAATATTTTGATAGGGGGGTACCGCTATAATTTCACATAAAGTAAATAATGAATTTTATACCAAATGAAAGCCCGTCAAAAATGGGATTTATTGATACTAAATAGTAAGGGTTATGAAAACTTTTTAATATCGAACTTCAGAAACTTTCAGAAATGTTATGCTTTTTTTGTGGTGGAAA